CACTCCGAGCATGGAAAATTTTGATTAGCGGCGCATGAAAATTTATGCAGAGTGAAAAGCAAAACATATTACAAAAATCAATCTTCATCACTCTGCGGAGCCACGAAATTGCAGTTCAAAGAAAAACTGTGCAGCGCATAAATATTGTTTTTTTTTTTAGATTTTAATGAGCTTGTCTTCATAATTAATTGCCATTTTCGAGGAGCGCGGCTTCGTTTTTCAATTGAAATGTCTTCCAAGGCAACAACAACAGCAGCAAAGTTTTAATGACAGTCTGCACTTGAAAATGTAACTCAAGCCCACCTACTCCTATATACGTAAATTATTTAAAACTTCAGGAAAACTTAAAAGCTGGAAAGTTAAGCATACTTGATTATGGAATAGCTCTGAATTATTTGTGATTTGAATTATGAAAAGAATCTTTTAAACAGACGAAAATATAAAAAATAAAATAAAATAGGATCGATACATCAAAAATAACAAAATTGTAAGCAAAAATCCAACAAAATCGTTGTGATCGTTGGCAAAAATCTTCGTTGGAGCCAAATTAATGATTCCTAAAAAATTATCGAATGGAATTCTTAAATATAGAAAAAGTATCAGATGAGGCCTGAAACTAATTTAATATTATATGTATTGCAATATAAAACGTCATCCTGGAGAACCAGCATTATAAAATTGCATGAAAATAGTTCCATTTATACATCCAATGCAAATTTTAGATACATCGAGACATGATTTCAAGGCTTTGTTTCCCCGGTTATTGATTGATGTTATTTTGGAATTAAATCCCTTTTTGAATTTGAAAAACATATCTGTCACTAGGACACAGTTTTAAATTTATTCTTTTATGATCTGAGAAGGAAAACAAATGATAAAGAAAAAGATGACTCCATAATATAGGCATCTATAGCAATGAAGAGCTGGTGAGAGGAGTAGCAGCATTTATAACTAAAACTACGTAAAAGTAATATAAACATTATTATATTATTAATTTTTATTTTTTAATATTCCCCTAACAACTTCTTGTTTGCAGAAGAATTAAAATGCAATACATGTTACTATATTACTATATTTTAATAGCTTTCGGTTATATTTAACATAAAGAGTTAATTAACTCTAGACTTTACAGACGCACAAGCAGCGCACTACAGCTTCAATTGCTGGATTAATAATGCAGTTATAATTGTATCCATATAGCTCCTAAAACCGAAATACTCCAATGTTCTGGAGGGTACAAAAAGTGCACGCAACGCATAAATCTTAGCAAGCTGCCAACTGAGTGGCATTTGGTATGCTCAGCGCAACTCTAATAAGAATTTATTACAAATATTTAACAGCCGAAAAGTAAAACAAAGGCGAGAATATAAAGGGAGAAAAGACACAACAGGATGCCTGGCTCCTGAGGGCGGCACAGGAAGAGCGCGCACCAGTGTGGAGGAGGGTGGCCTGGGAAAGTGACACTAAAATTTTTATTTAATTGATCAGCACGCAACACCAGAAACAGAAACTCGCACACAGAACACACAGACTAGGGTGAGGCTTGCGACATGAGGGTGAGGAACACCTCCATTTAGGTAGAGAGACCGACAGATAGACAGACAGCTGCCCGACACACAGACACACACATGTGACTGACTCGGAACTGATATTCTGACTCACTACGAATTCTACCCGAATGCTGGGAATTTTTGCGTACAGTCGACTCTAATTTGATTATTTAGCGCATTTGTCTGCCTCTCTATGGAGGGATTTCCATGATATATTGAACTGTCATAGACATTAGGCATCTAAATGGCAGCTAATCGAACGACAGCAGAATTTGGCAGAAGGAAGCCCCAGCATGTCGAGTGGAGTGGAGTGGACTGGGCTGGAGTGGAGTGCAGTGTGGGTACATTGTTGAGTTGTTCGACGGCATCGAAACAACTTTCAATTGACAAAGCAACTTCACATCCCATGAATGCCCGAGACTGGAGACAATGGCACAATGGACCTGCGATTTTCGTTTCTGTACCCTCGGAGCATGTAATTTTGCGCTACTGTCTGCCAAAGTGATGGCACAGTGGGTTCCAGTGGCGTGCCTCAGAAGGACAACGAGGGGTAGGTTCTAACCATGTTGCATAGGCATACTGTGTGTTCAATAAAACGCCTCAGAATAGCCACAAGACCATAAATGTTGAGCAATAAATGCAAACAATAGTATACCAAAGCGGTTTGGTTTGGTTTCTTGAAGATTAGAGAAAGAATTGAATGCTTATTATAGTTTATGAAAAAATACGAGATACATATAGATAAATAGATACACACATATCATATATATATCATATCATATATATCTAAAAATATCACACATCTAAATGTTTTTAATTGTCATCAAAGCTTCCTTGAAACTAAAGCAATTTATTATTAAATGGCTTTTCAGTTAATGGAAGACGTATTTAGAAACAAGCAAGAGGTTTACTAAAATAGTATAATTTGTCTAATATCTAATATCCTTTTATTTTTCAATTACAATTTTATTAGTTCCCGCGAAACTGAATGTCAAAAGTACTTTAATAATTCAGTTGAGAAGTTAGCAAAAGGTTTACCAAAGTAGTCTGATTAGTAATCTAAAAGATTAGATAATGTTTGTTCTATCTATCCACTATCTTTGTAATACCTATCTACCTTTAAAGATAATATTAAAGTCTTTTTCTATGTACCTAACCAGTACTGTTATGGCTGATTTAGACAAATTTCAAATTTCGTTTTATTAAATAGAACAATAAAGATCTAAGAAAATAAACAGAATTATTGTTCTATAGATAGATCTAAAATAGTTCTGCAAGTCTCTATGAAAAAGCCTTCGAAATGCCATAATACAATAACTATATTAAGTTTGTAACTAAGTTTCTAGAAATGAGTTTCATAGCCTTTCTAAAACGATATGGTTTTTAAGGTTGGCTTTATAAATAAATGCGATCTCGTTTCAGATAGCCATAAAAAAAGGACTTGTTGGTATTTATTTCTGGCAACTAATCACATTAGAAGCTTTATAGACAAAGAAAATCATCTTAATCCAAGTCTAGTCTAGTTTTGAAATAATATCTAAAATAGCAGTTTCTTACATTTTCTTCTCTATTTGTAAGCCTAACTTTGAGTTGTGCAGACTTCAATATGGTCTTTTATAAACTCTTTATGATTTAATCTCTGTTTTCTAATTGTTTTCAACTGTTTTCTAACCTCGGATCAGTTCTGTTTTTAAATTCCGATTACTTTCTAAATCTTAATATTGCGTTTTTGAAGTTCATATCTAATGTCTATCTTTTCATTATCCATTCTGTGTAGATTGTATTTGAATTCTGATTGACAACATTTCTTCTGCAATAAATTGTTTGTTCGAGTTTCTGCTCGCTTCGTAGACTTCGTCCCTTCTAACTTTGGCAGACCGTCCGTCACTGTGTCTGGTTCCTACCAATGTTATAAAGCATTTTTATGCACCCTTTTTCCAGAGCGTCAAACAATCTGCCCTCCTCATTTCGTCATGCTCCATTAAACAATTTGCCATTGTTGCACTTTTTTTGCCCGCAATATGTTGTGTCCGTCTGTCTGTCTGTCTGGCTGACTCTCTGCCGTTTAATTTGTTGCTGTTTTGGTGAAAAACAAAAACAGTAACTTTGTTTCATTATTGAAAAAGTCGGCAGCGCTGTTGTCGTCGTCGAAATGGCTACCCTGCGGATTTTCCTTTTTATTTTCATTATAATCCGCTGATTGTGCAATATTTGTGCCTTAAGTGGCACACAAATACACATACTTGTATGTATATAGATATATATTTGTTCGTATAACTGTAGTTACCGTTCAGGCAATGAGCAAAGTAACTGAGGAACGTGTCGCGACTAAAGTCGCGCTCGCGTTTCGTGCGCGTTGTTTATGCCTTTGGCTTACATTAATGAATTTTTAATACTGTTCAGAGACTAGAGTACATGTGTGTGTATGTGAAAATATATTGCTGTTTATGCTCGTGGCATTACATTTAAATCACTCTGATTTGTTTTTCTTTTCAGAACAACCTCATTTTCTAACTTTTTGCGCAGCTTCCGGTTGTCAAATGTTGCCGCAATATACACTTGTATTTGTTTGTTTAACTTCTTGTTTTTATCAACAGTTTTCACTTAATTTAAACATTTGTAGGCAACTAACCGTGTTGTTATCTTTCTGTGTCAGCTTTTTCTGGTTAGATAAAAAAAAAAGACGACACTCTGGGGAAAATACAACGAACAACATACTTATTTTTAAACGACAATTTTTTATCGCATTTTTTTTTTTTAATTTGCTGACCAGCTGACCAACATGAACTTCACAGCAATGAAATGTGTAGTTACCGGTTTGGCAAACTTTTTATTAAACGTTCTACACACTTTTGTTGTGATTTTTTATACATTTTTTTTATTTATTTTTTTGGTTTCACACAAACACGTTTTCGCTCAGCTCCACAACTGGAGGCGCTGATTTATTTTATTTGTATATGAATGTATGGGATTAAGATGGCTTTTAAAAATATGCTCAATGAACCTTCCGTTGCTCCAAAATTATATTGCACGCAACACTTCGCAACACTCCAGTAATCAGTTAAGCAAACAAGCAACAAACGAGCGAAACATCGTACGAACGTACGCACGGTTTGTCAAGATAGAGGCAGAGACGGAGAAACACTGGCTTTTGTTGTTGCTGAGATCACGGGTTCTCACGTTCCGCACTCAAGTCACGAATACGCACCAGATGCGACGAATGATAGAAGGAAGCGCGACACACGTTATGCTCAGTTGGAAGACGCCGTAGAACTAACGGCCACGAAAATGTTGAGCAAGATCAGTTGTATGGGCTGCGGAGAGCGCAGTGAGCGAGCGAGATAGCTGCATGCAAGAGAGCAGAAATGCGCGCGCGATCAGCAACATGTTGGGCGCAACATGTTGCCAGGCAATGAACTGCAGCAATCGTATTGACAAATCGCTGGCTCTTTATCCTGCTGCCACTGCTGCGCGTGTACCGCCTCCTTTCGCATCAAATGCGGAACTGAATATGACACTCAAATCCTTTGGCAAGCCACTGAGCCAAACGGCGGGCTGCTGTGCCAATGGCGACGACGTCGACGTCAACGTTGACGCCGGCAGTTTGGCGGCTTGGCGGCGACAAAACAAATAACGAAATCAAAATGGAAAAACAAAACAGGGGAAAACCGAATGGCATATGTGGCAGCCAGAATACACTACAATACAAAAGCATGTGCTACATACATATATACTTTGTTAAACAGCCTTATTTTAGGTCTAGAAAAAATTGCTGGCATTAGTTCAAGGCGGTCATCTTGATAGGATATTCAAAATGTGGAAGCAAACCTACGCAGTCAAGTCTGCTGCCCGGTCAGAAATACTCTAGGCAGGCCATCTAGCAGGGCATCCCAGACGTATAAAGCATCGCCTAGTGCAGGGCGTTGTTGCGACAGGAGCTATGGCGCCACAGCGGCGGCACTGGCGACGTATGTTGTTGTTATTGTCGCCGCCGTCACTGAAGTCGTCGACGTCTACCCCCATCGCCATGGACGCGTTTTTATTTAGTTGTTGGCACAACTATTCAGCCACAGCCACTGCCACAGACGCAATGTTTCAGTATCCGTCCAGGAGGACGATGCGCACAACGTAGAAGAAAAAAGGAAATAGAAAAAAATTGCAAATGTCTGTGGGGCAAGAATCAACGCTGCTTTATGTCTCTGCCCATTTATTTTTGGCACGAGACGCTGCGGCGCCAACCAACCAACCAACCAACCAACGCCACGGCCATCATCATCATGACCGTCAAAATCGCAGCAAGGGCGCAAGGATGGGTAAGGACGAGACTTTTGCGTTGCAACATAAAGTTGTAAAAACTTGACTGCCACTTCCTTCGGCTGCTGGCTGCTCTTTCGATTCTAAAATGATTGATTATATGGATTTTTACGCAGCAATTTCGAGCTTGGCCGACAATGGTCGAGGACATTGCCAACTATTGGCTATACCCCAATGACTTCATATCCCTCGATGTTGTTGGCCTCGACTCTTCGCCAAAAAGCATATTTCGCTCGACTGGCGGTTCAGTTGGGGTGTTGGCTTTGGTTTTGGTTTTGGTTTAGTTTCTAATGTCAAACAATTTGCCGCTTGACTTATGGCCTTGTTTTTGCCAACTTGTCGAATTGGGTTCAATGCCTGAGTTGGGGTAGCAGGGTGGGATGCGGTCGGGCATTTCGTGGCATAAGTTGAGCGTTTTAGTAAGAGATTACTGGCATATTAAGCGATATGGGTACGGATATACATAGATATGGGTTATTGGTATTGACAGGCAAACAATTGATTTGTAGCTGTATGCCGAAATAAATAAATTCGACAAATGACAGGAAATGATGAGTCAAATTTCAGATGAAAACAAATCTATTTTATTCAAAACAGCTAAGAAGTTCTATGACGTTATCGCCAATGAAACGAGAATGTGGAATCTATTAGAAGCAATGATTTATTCTGTTATGCAAAACAAAATCAATTGTCTTGAAAGACGGATCGAAAAGCAATAAGGTGGTGTATTTATTTTAAATTTAAGTTATTAAACACATCCCAATTCATTTAAATGATGATAATACTTGTATTAATAAAAGAATATTTTTAGGTTTAACAAAATGAGACATAAATCTGCAAAATCTGCAAAAGATTTCTCTTATTTAGAAATTAATCAAAGAATAATACCGCTACATGCATACGGCTTTGAAAAGTAATTTCCAAAAATTATACGTTTGTATAGAGCTCCTATTGGTTTCATTTATAGTAAAATATGTACGAGTAAGTCGTTGTGAACCTCGATCAATTTTTAGTGTAAGCTGCCCCCATGTACCTTAAGCTCTGTATACATTTTTTTCGAAATAATAAATTCCTGTAGTTTAGAATAATTATTTAACCAATTATTTCTTTTATGAACAACTTATTTCATGAGCTGTCATGTCACTATTCTTGTTGATATTTCCTAAATGGTTATAGGTCCAAAGAATTGGTTATATTTATAGTTTTTTTATTGAAATAATAAAAATATAATTTATATCTTTAAGACCACGCTATTCGAAAACTCATAAAACCCGAGGGGTGAATGGGTATATTAGCCAATCTTAACTCAAAATGTGTGTAACAAGCGGTGAGAGGCCGTAATGACCAAATGACGAATCGATATAGACATATCAGAGTGTTTGTCCTTCCGTTCGACTGTATGAACGCCTATAACTTTCGAACCATAACAGCTAGAGACACGAAACTTAGTACTTAGTACTTAGACTTCTTTTATCCATACACAGAGCAAGATTATTACAAATTACATATGGAACTAATTCTTAAATATAGCTGTCTTAGCAACGATCGTAGGAAAACTTTTCTTCTTTTAAAGTTATCTCAAGTGAATTTGGTTTTTATGAAAGCGGTATAGTTCACCATTAAATTCTGAAGTCATGAAAATCAGTGCACTATACCATATAGTTTTCATAGATCGGTAGAAAATCAATCTTAGCATAATAGCATAGTGTAGTAGTTTATATTTATAAAGATATATTAAGCATATCTTGTAGTTATTTTGTATTTTGTACACTGGTTCACCATAAAGATTGACACAACAAAGTTCATTTTAGTTGAATGGGCTCTGCAATTAATTTGATTATAAATTAAAATTTCAGCCGATTTCATTTAAGCAGCTACTATTTCAAGCTTTAATTACTTTTTAATTATTCAAATGTTATTAACGAAGCTGTCTTATTGTTTTCCAGCCTGTACGTTTGTTTAAAAAGTTTTATGTGTATGTTAAGTCGATTCTTTTGGTTGCTGATTTGTATTAAATGAATGTAATGTAAATGAAATGTATGGCAATAAAAACCTCAGAGTATAAATACATACCAACCACTAGGCACGAAAAATGTGTTTGAATAATTTATAACATCAAGTTCACTTACCTGCAAAGAAAAAATAGAAATCAGTTATTCATTAATAAATTTGTGGTATTAAGCATTTTATAAATTCTAAAAACCCCTGAGATCTTATTTCACACATCAACAATAGTTTGCTTTTGGCAAACAAAGTGTACTTAAGATATATGTAAAGCCAAAAATGCCTTCTATTGTTTGCACAGCACATTTCTGTGATTATTCTTGAAGAAGCAGCAGCTTAAGTCCCCCACTATTGCCACACAATTGTGCCACACCTTCTGTCGCCTTCAAGTGGCGTAAATATTGACAGCACTCTTGCCAAATCGCAGGCAATTCAAAATCAATTAAAAAATATGAAAAACGCACGTGCTTGTGCGTCGGGCGTGTGTTTGTCTTCATTTCGAGCCCCACTGTATGTGTGTGTGTGCCACGGGGCGTATGAGCAACAGCATACTGCGAGTATAGATGACCTCGCCGACCCCCCGGGTAGGCGGCAATGTAATCATCTGCTTTTGCTCTTTTACTTATACATATTTTTTGAGCAGCTAAATGTTGCTTGGAGCAATCGCATAACCACAGCAACAACAACAACAACAACAACCCATGCATAGTAATAGTTCTTTGTCTTATCGCTTGTCATATTGTGGAGCATTGGAATGGGAGGGGGCTTGTGGGTATGGTTGGCGGACAACACACTCTTAATGCCATAACACCGCCGACTTAGTACAGTAAAACAACGTTAAGCCGAGCAGAAAGCGTTATGTAATCAGCAAAAAATCCAGACAAATGCAAGTATTACTATACATAGGTGGAAAAACGAGTATCTAGATACTTTTTCTGTCTTTTGGAAATAAGAATAATAGTTGAATTACTTCAGAAAATATTGCTGGAGGTGAAAGAGATCGACTTTACTGTTGGTGAGCTGATTTCGATATCAGTAATCAGAATGTCAAATGAAACCCAAGGTTCAACAATTTTACACTCTCCATGCCAGTACTAAATAGACGAGAATTGAGACAATTGTTTTACTTTCTAGAAAGAGGCTTAGTAGTTGAATTATTTGTGAAAATATCAAAAGTATAATATAGTCCGATAATAGCATAACAATTAGGTGACAAAGGTTACTAAGAAACTCATATCGCGGTGTAAAATGAAAGCTAAGGTTTGACAATTTAGCACTCTCCATGCGGTTATTATATGAACTGGAAAATACATTTTGTCGCTGGAGAAATATTAGAATGCACAGATATTTTTCCAAGCTAATCTTTAGATATTTTCAAAATTGGGACTCAATGACAAACTCTGAGAGTGTGGCACAAAAAAGTGAAAAAGGAAGCAAATGCAAATGGAACTAAGCTTGGAAACCTTGAAATGAGATATCTTTGAAACTAAGTACAACTGTTAATCACATTTTAACAACACTTTCTGAAGTAGCTTTAAATATTTCTTGTATTTATTTATTATTTGCAAGCTGACTAGATTAATTACAATAGTTGTTTTATTTAAAACATTTCAAAATAGTTTGTGACTGATACTTTTGAAAAAATTTAATATATACATACTATATTAAAAAGGGATTTAATTTTAACTCAAAAACGATCAAGTTTTTAATCGTTCATTTTATTAAGAAAATATTTGAATTATAAGAAAAGCAATGCTTTCCCGCTAGAGGCAATTTAATTTTTGGAAATATCACACAACCGTTGAGTGTGTTGGTGAAAAGTTCCAAATGAATGAACTAAGTCTGTCTGCTTATTGTTTTGCAACTGTCAGCTCTTTGCGCGATCTATCGGAAACATACTGTATAGTATATATTATGATGCATGTATTTGTGTGAGTGCATGCACATATATTTGTCGCACTTAATAAATTTCTATCCCGCTACCACACCCACTCCCATTCCCGATTCCATTCCCGGGTCAGTTTGGTTCAATTTGGAGTGCGTGATAAATGGTGGCGTTGCGTGGCAAGCTCGGCTGTGGCTGTGGCATAGATTCGATTGGTGTGGCGTGCCTCACTGTTGTTGTGGTTTCATATTTATGGTCAGTGATAAGATTGTTCAATTGAGGTTTTTGTTTTCTTATTAAAGTGCGGCCAGCCAAATCTGTTTAAAGTTGATGTAGGTTGGAAGCTTTATAAGTCGATTTCCAGCACTCATTTTCGTGCCTTATGGACTGCTGTAAAGCTTAGCTGAT